CTATGTATCGTGTGTTACGCTTGGTATCACAGATACTAAGAGGCGAAACAGAGAGAAGGAAATAAAGAGTAAAACAAAGAAAGAGGGGGATTTAGAGATACGAAAAAGAGAGTGTGACACGGAGAAGGATTCTTAGATAAAGGCAGTTATTTGTAGAGGTGTTGAATCATGTTTTGTGGCCTAACGATCTTTTGAAGACAAATTAACCTCTAAACTGAAACTGATCTTTTGAAATTAGAATCTTTTTTTTAGACTTATCTTCGCGAATTTGTTACAGACTGGACCTCGGAACAACAGTAATTAAGAGGTGATTCCACGCTTCTTAAACCTCCCGATCAGAGGCCTTGCTGCTAAAGTAGTCTATCGTCATACCCAGAACTATTTTCTGATAGGTAAAGTGGTGAGACACTCAGTGGGATTAAAAATACCAGTCAAGAAGCGGATGAATCTTTTTGTAGTGTCAACAGCATAGCAGAACATAGCTATGTATGCAACCAGTGCAGTGATAACACGGAACCACGACTTTTCACAACTTCCTATCCATTGCGGCTCTTAGCAACCGTTGTCTTTTTTTTTTAACTAAAAATCAATTTTTTTCAATATCCCCGGCGTAGTGCTCCGCTGATAGGATCAATGGCCACGTGAGGATCGAACTCATTAGACAATAGTAATGTTTCGGGAAACTAGCTAACTACTTCCTTTACAGTGTGACACTGAATATGGTTGTTTATGACTGTCTAATCTATTTTTTCAGACGCCTGCTCAGGTACATTTGTGTTTGTTCATCACCCAACCTGTAGTTTACACTGCAGCTATACTGAGTGCGCCTTATTTACAGTTGGTGAGACAGCGTGCATAATATTGAACAAGTATCCTCGCTCACGATGACTTGTGACTCCGTGCTAGTACAATCATTGACAGCTTCCGAACAGTTTCTTCTGCCCATTTTCACTCAAAAGGCTTGGGTAAACACGTGGTATTGTTTTTAGGCTCTTTACAGCGATATCCAACCGATATTATCAAAAGCATTAGACCATGGTGAAATTCGAACACGGAACTCCCGTCCTGGGTATGACGATAACCTACGTCCAGCAGCAAGGCCTCTGATCAGAAGGTTGTGAGGAACGTGGAACCACCTCTTATTTGCTAGTGTTCGCAAGTCCAACCTGACCCGGGGTGGTAGCACCTGTTAGGGTCCCAGCTGTAGGCAAATGGTTAACCCCGAAAATGGGGTCAAAACAGCATGAAAGTGTAAAAATAGGTTTTAATATTAGAAATACTTTTAAAAAATTATTACCAGCAATACTTTTTAAAAAAAAAAATATTACCAACAATATGTATTTAAAAAATAAGTATTACTAGCAATACATTTTTGAAAAAGAAATATTACCAGCAATACATTTTTTAAGGAAAAATATTACCAGAAATGGATTTTTGACAAAACAAAATATTACCAGCAATAAAAATAATTAAATTAAATAACCCATTGAAGTTGATATGCCGTAAAACAAACCAAACGAAAACACAGAACCCATTAGGCGGAAAGCTAAAATTCTAATCACGCGCCTACACGGCGGTCGATGAAAACTTTGTCACTTAGTTGATTATTGATGTTACCTTCAACATCCCGAATCCAGAGTTTCGTATAATAACCCTCTAGGAATCACTCCGTCCAATCGTCAGGGGTATCAGAAATTGACTGCTTATACTTCTCGATTTTTCTTTTTTATATGCACTTTTCATTGGTCAAGTATTTTTTTTTTCATAGTGCATGTGTGCGTGCGTGTGTGGATTCGCCCGCGTGATCACATATGCCCCTAAATGTGGACACTCATTGGGAAAATGTGGACAGTCTGTTTCATGCTTGAACGCAATCTTTAGGACATGAAACAGAATATCGCCACTTGGAGTTGACCGCAGTACCCACTTTTATATTTATCAACGATATTGAGCACTTTTAACCATAAATATAGCATACCTTAAACTATATTTTTATCATATAAATATATTATATATATATATATATCATATAAATTATTATATATATATATATATATATATATATATATATATAATTATTTATTCGAAAATCATAACATAAATCTGTTATAAAATCACCACAAAAATAATCATTTTGTTTCAACACTTCCGGTGTCTTATCAAGTGATGGTGTTGAATGTAGAACTTTTCAGAATATATAGATATATATATATATATATATATATATATATATATATATATATATATATAATTATTTATTTAAAACTTATAACATAAATATTTTAAAAAATCACTACAAAAATAGCCATTTTGTATAAATAATGGCTATTTTTAAATAAATAAGTATATCTGCTCTACTCTGTATTGAGCACTCTTTAAAGAATAGTAATTGTTTGGTTATTGGAATTTGTTATATATATATAATCATATATATATATATATATATATATATATATATATATATATATATATTGAAAAGGTCCGACAATTATTTTAATATATTTTATGTTAATTTTGTAGATACAAATATTTAAGTAAAGGCTTTGTTTATTATGTACAGTATTAACAACTGGCTTGAATGTCCGAGAAATTTCATAAATTCAATAAGTAAATGTTGCTAATACTTTTTATTATAAACAGAGCATTTACTTAAATATTTGTATCTATAAAATAACGTATATATATATATATATATATATATATATATATATATATATATATATATATATATATAATTTCACTCCAAACAACACAATAAAGCCACTAAGACGCAAGACGTTACTTAGCTTGAAAGAATAAAAGAAAAATCATATTAAAGAGAGAGAAAACGGAATTAAGAAAACAGAAGTTAAAAATTGACATTGCATATAAATTTTTGAAGATCAGCAAAATGTCGGAAGAGAGTTCCACAAGCGAGAAGAGTGTGAAAAGGAACCATTAGCAGAGAAATTACGGAAACATCTAGCGATTTCATCTGTAGACTTTGCCACCAATCTAGCACTGGCCTAAAATTCAGGAAATCTAGGTAGCATGAATGTATTTATAGTAAAGGCGCATGGAAGCTACATTACTGCAGTGGGAAAGTGATATATATATATATATATATATATATATATATATATATATATATATGTGTGTGTGTGTGTGTGTGTGTGTGTGTGTGTGTGTGATAACTGAAATCATTTTATGCATATCGTTATATATATAAATATATAAAGAGAGAAATAATATATATATATCATCATATAGATTTCTGTATCTACGTATGGAACAAACATGATATATAAACTCTATATATCAGACTAATGGTGGATCATTTTTCAATTTTGTCATTCTATTCTCGATCCTATATATATATATATATATATATATATATATATATATATATATATATACATACACACACACACACATAAGTACGTACCATGTATGCATACGTGCGTGTTCATATTTAAAACAATTATATACAAATATCTACATACGAGATCCATCCAAAAAGGATCTAGTCGTTTTTTAATAACTCTAGAACCGGTTGTGCGGCCTTTATACAACTTGGCAAGCAGTCAGAGGAGACATTACGGTGCATAGTTGAACAGACATTTTATATATAACAGGTCATGTTTATATTATTATATATAGAAATATATTACTTTATAGATAGATAGATAGATAGATAGATAGATAGATAGATAGATAGATAGATATTTGTGGGAATATGAATACTTATGTGTACTTAATTCATTATATATATGTGTATGTGTGTATGCGCGCGCGTGTTTCATATATCATCGATTTCTACTTTATTTTTTCATTTGACATTTTATGTCTTTTCTCAGATGTTCAGAACTCTTTTTCTTTCATTCTCAATTTCCTCACGCTCTCTCTCCCCCTCCCTCTCTCTCTCTCTCTCTCTCTCTCTCTTTTACTCTCACACTCCCTTTCTCAACTCATAACTCATGCTTCCTCTTTCCCTCATTCCCATTAATCTATTAAAAATCGTTTGTATCTTTCTCTCCGCCTGTTTTCTTAATTTGTCCATTTCGCTATCTTCCAAATTACCGGGAATCAAACTCTTCGCCCAATTTTTTTTTTGGTAAGGGTACAGGTGGGAGTAGAGGTAATTTAACCAGATTGAGAAGCTTTTTCAATTTTTACTCATATATATATATATATATATATATGTGTGTGTGCGCGCGTGTGTGTGTGTGTGTGTCTGTGTGTGTGTGCATATATATTTTTTATGATGTCTCGGATAGTTTATACGATTTTGTTGCCAAGTTTTTCATATTTGTTTTCGAAGTGTTTTACAATGTACTTTTTTTTCTCCAAAGTATGTTTTCTTTTTCGTCTTTTTCTTTGACTTCTTTTTACTTCTTTTCCTTCTTCGTCTTCAGACACTTCTTTTCGATCTTTTTCTTGACCTTCGACTTCTCCTCTTTCTTCTTTTCGCCCTTCTTCTCACTTTCTAGCTGTTCCTTGAATGCCTTTTTCTCATTCTCTCTTCTCGCTTTTCCGCCTCTTTTCTACTATTCTTTCTTCCTCTCTTTGTTCTTTGTTTCTCGCTCTTCTTTCGTTTTTAATTTACGTCTTTCTTCTTTTCTCTTTTTGTTCATTTTAAACATTTCTTCTTGCCTCGCTTCATTTTTCCTTTATTCTTCCTTTAACCTTCTTTTTCTTCTTCGTTCTTTTTTTTTTCTTTTTCCTTTTTACCTTCTCTTTCCCTCGTATTTTTCTCCTCATTTTCTACTTTTTACTCTTATTTTGTAATTTTGCTTTCTTTCGCTTTTTCTCTTTGGTCTCTTCTCTTTCTTTTTTTTTTTTTTTTTTTTTTAAATTCATTTCTACGCCATTGGCTCCTTTTACTTTTATTTTCTCTGTTATTTCATCTTTCTTATTCGTTATCATCATATTTCTGTCTTTTTTCATTCTGCTTGACATTTCTAGTTTGTTTTGTTGAGGGGGTGGTCACATTCTCTTCTTTTTCTACGTCACTCTCCCTGATGTCTTTTTCATTTATCCCTATTTTGTTTCGGGTGGTGGAGTCTTTTTTCCGATTTCTTCTTTCGTCTTCTTCTTCTTTTTTTTTTTTTTTTGTCTTGTATTTGTTTATTCTTTTTCTTTTGTCTCGCTTGAATGTTCTTTTCTTTCTTTTTTTTCTTTTTTTCATCTTCGTCTCTTTCTTCCAATCCTCATTCTTGATTACTCATCCCACGTCTCGAATCTTATCCTCTCCCTTCTAATGTACACCCCCCTTCTTCAGTTCTTTCTGTGCCTCACCTTCTAATTTTATTATTCCTTTCTTCTTTCTTTTCTTCGTCAGCTCTTTTTGTTATTCTTCTTGCTTCTTTTTCTCACTTTTTTTTTTTTTTCATACTTTCCTTCTCTCTTTTTCACTTCTTTTTATTGACAATGTTTTCTTATTCTTTTTCATCTTCTGGTTATTTTTTCCCCTTCGTTCCTTACGTCTTTCTCAATTTGTAACTCTCTTCTCCCCTAACAGAAATGTTAGCGCGGTTGGCACAGGTCTTGGCAGTGGACACCGCCATCATTCGAGACCTGTTATTGAAATAGGTTTATTACTTTTTCAGTCGCTGTTTTTATTGGACAAATCATTTTATTGCCGTCACAGGTCAATTCCCTAATCGCTCGGCCTCGAAGCTGTCTTTCTTCTCTTAGTCAAAGAGAAGAAGGAATTTGGTAAAGAAATATCAAGAAAAAAAGATGCTGGAAAACTGCAAGCGGCCTTGGTGCATTGGAGAATATGTGCATAGTTTAATCCGTGCTGTACGACGTTTATTTTTATTCATACTATTTTTATTAGTACTAATTGTAGCAGTAATAATTTAATACTAAAAATTATCTTAATTATCATTAAAAACATAATAATAATAATAATTATTATTATTATTATTATTATTATTATTATTATTATTATTATTCATTTCACCCCATGCAAGGCAATAAATCGACTAAGATACATGGGGTTACTGAATGTTACAGAATATGAGAAAAATATACTATTAAAGACAATAAAATTTATTATTATTATTATTATTATTATTATTATTATTATTATTATTACACCGACGATGATGATTATGATGTAGTTTTCATAGTTGCAGACGAATTCTAATCTGACCAATAAGAATATCGTTGACTGATCACGAGACTTGACCCGCCTTCCATATCTTATTTCTTATTGACTTTTATTATTGTGTTTTCTTTGTTGACTGTTGACATTTTTTAAATCTTAGCATCAAGACAAAATCTGAACTTCATAACAGAGTGATTTTCTGGAGGAAGAAGAAGCTTTGCACACTTTCCTTCTATTTTCCATTTCTTCTTCCACTCTGTCTGTTTCATTCTCTTTTCCGCCATTTTTTCTTTACTGTTATCATCTCTTCGTCTGTTTTTTCCATTTAACTTAATTTTTTTATGAAAATAAAGTCTTGTTTTTTCCCTTGTTTCCTCTTTCCAGTTTTCTTCACATTTTTTTCTCATACGATCTTTTTTTTTTAATTTTCTCCTTTTATTTTGTTTTCTTCTTTTGTTGTTGTTGGTGGTGGTGGTGATAGTAATGGTGGTGGTCGTTAATTAGTTAGTTCTTTCTCTTTCTTTTCCTCCTTACGTCTCATCTTTTTGTCTTCATTTATTTTTCACTTTCTGTTTCTATTCTTCCTCAACCTCCTCCTCCTCCACTTCTGCCATTTCTCATTTCTTATCGTTTCTCTTACTCTTCATCTCTCCTCCCTTTTCCATTTACCCCCACTTTTACAATCTTCTCTATCTCTCTTTCTTTGTTCTTCTTGTTTGCTTCTATTCCTCCCTTCCCTAATGCTTTTAAAACATTTTATTTTCATCCAATCAATCCCTCTTTCTTTAAACTGTTTATTTCTGTCTGTTTGTCATTTTCCTCATCTTCTTCCGCGTCTCTCTCTCTCTCTCCCTCTCTCCCTCTCTCTCCCTCTCTCTCTATATATATATCTATCTATCTATTTATCTATCTGTAGGTTATTGCCTCTCCTTTTCTTTTTGTATAATAATCTCCTTTTTGTTTTCTCTCTCTCTCTCTCTCTCTCTCTCTCTCTTCTTTCGACTTTTCTCGTCTTCTTTTTAATCTTACTTTTGTTTCTTTTGCTTTCTTCTTCTTCTCTTCTCTATTTTATTTATTGACCTTACTATTTTCGCTCCGCTCTAAATCAACCAGTCAATCTACCTATCTATTAATCAGTCCACTGTTTTCTTTTTCTTTTTTTTTCTTTTTTGTATAAAATGTTTCATTCATTTTCGCCCGTTATGATTTGATGGACGTTGCTGGATTGTTTATTGACAATATACGATCGACATCAGTCTCAAACGCGGTAAAAACGGGAGAAAAACTCGAAAGAAAGAAATTATTTTAAGGAAATGAAAAAAAAAAGCTGTCTATTTAGAGACACCATTAATATGTGACGGTTTAGTTTGTAGAATTGAAACGAAAACAAGAAAGAGAGAAAAGAACGTTAGGAAGTTTATGACAAAATTATTATTATTCGAGAACAAATAGAAGATGTGAAGGAGAGGGATAGTATTAATATTTATTTACTTATTTATAAGGAAATTAATCTAGTACTTATTTTCAATTTTGGATTAAATGCCTGTTAATCAATTTGATAAATGATGTAATATATTCAGCAGTGTGAGTTCACCAAAGAGGATCATAGATGGCGTGATCAAGGGAATAATTTCATATTCAATGTAAAGGGAACATTTCGGCTGAACAATATAGATAGATAGATAGATAGATAGATAGACTGAGATAGATAGATAGATAGATAGATAGATAGAAGAAGAGATGAGATAGATAGATAGATAGATAGATAGATAGATAGATAGATAGATAGATAGATAGATAGATAGATAGATAGATAGATAGATAGATAGATAGATAAGAAGAGACTGAGATAGATAGATAGATAGATAGATAGATAGATAGATAGATAGATAGATAGATAGATAGATAGATATGAAAACAATGTAATAGATAAATATTAACAGAATTGGATAAATATGAACAAAATTAGATGGATAGATACAATAGAAATGAAATATATAAATATGATCAGAATTATATATATATGTGTGTGTGTGTGTGTGTGTGTGTGTGTGTGCGTGTGTGTAAATTGTTTTCAGATAGTGTATCTGTTTTGACTGACCTTTCGGCCACCTGATAAATATTTACGAACGTCCTCAAATTTAAAAGCCTTAACAAACCAATGGCATTCTTGTTCTTGTATATAATATGCTTAGAATATAAACACGTTTATAATATAAACACGTGCAACAAAATAAATTATAACATTTACCTTGATAAAGCCCCTCAGAGGACGAAACGCGTCGGCTAAGAGTAATTTTCCACTTGTCTTTTTATTCATATATATATATATATATATATATATATATATATATATATATATATGAACAGATCTATCAAAATGAACAGATATTGTTTGCAAGATATATTTGAAGTGAGATGCATCCAATGATATGAACTAAAAGAGACAAAGGCAGACAAAGCAAGATAAACAGATAGATTAACGTGACACTTGACTTTGGATAAGATTTGATTTTAGAAGAGTAAAACCATTAATTTCCAAACGTTTTTGAGCCACTCAGTTTGGGGCATTAATACATCGATCCTTGTAAGTAGCATCAGCAATGATAACAATTTACGGCATCCATGTATTAATAGATTTAAATCTCAAAGTTTAATATCTGAATAAATTACCATGTGTAATTTTCAGAAGAGTTATTAACGTGGTCCGGACTACTGACTTTATTCTTTGTTACTCGGGAATGGGTTCAATAGTTGAAACAAGTCTTGGATCTCAATGACGGAATTTAACAAAATTAGAGAATCTTTATAGTGTCCACTTGTCACTCAGGAAGTGCTAATGTATTAGGATATAATCAGCAACGTGACTGAATCAAAGAGCGTCATGGATGGTGTGGTCAAAGGATTTGTATTTTGTATTCAAGGACATATTCATGAATATAGGTCCAAACATCCCTATTTGCGTAAATACAGGTCGCGAATCACGTGCCTGGGTACACATCATGCTAATATGGCGTTCTCCATGAAGATTCTATACTAAGGGATGAATAGACATTCTTTAAAATATATATATATTTAAAAATTCGGTTTTCATGATCGGGGAGCCTTTTGAGCGCCCAATTTTTTTCGACTTATAGAATAGAGTGCTACGATCATATTGTTGGAAGTGATCAGAAGTTTTGTTTCTTGTTTAATTCAAATGATTTAAAATTTAATTTTTTTTTTTTAAGCTGACCATTTATTCAATCCAGACTTGAAATAATGAACTCTCTCCCCTTGTTTGACTTCGGTTTACGTCCGAATGAAACAAGAGTTCTTAATTACCGAAGAGTGAATTACGTTGTATTTTCTCCTTTTACAGAAAACATCGAAGACCTCAATACACCCTTAATTATCGTTAACAGTGATGATCATAATCAACTGACTCCAAAAAAACAGTCTTACAAATACTATCGAGAAGTCAAAAACAGCTGGGAACTTAAAGACAAAGAGGTCGCTGTTTGACTCCAGGCAAAAAACAAGATTTGAAATACTGATTTTCAAGACAAACAACTTGCGTATCTACCGGGTGCGACAGCAAAATTGGCCAAATCCTGTAACTGAAACAGTGTGGATGACACAAAACGATTTTAAACCGTTCTCTTTTTAGCTGAATAACTCAAAGGGTTTTTCAGTGATTCTTACGACAAATGGTGTGAAGATGGCTAAACAAGTTATCTGAAAACTCGGAAAAAAGAAACTCAATTAGTTTAGTGGGTTTTTTTTAGATATTAAACATTTTGTGGGGTGGATAATTATCCCATACTGTTACACGATTTGGACAATTTTGCTGTTACACCAGGTATATATTTGTACGCTTGTTTTTTGTAATATAGCTTAGACTGAAATGCACCTCGTATATTTATAAAGAATTGATTTATTTTTAACGCGATATTTTTATTGCTTCAAACGTTATTATAGTGGATAATTGTATTTGACACACGACAGGTTAAGCAATTTTCGGTAAAAGAAACAAAACTTCACATCGTAAAGAAGACAAATGTCTGTTGAAATTTCTAGGACGCATAATAAAGGCTTGGAAAATCTAATACTCACAAGAACAGATTGAAGGTAAGAGGGACAAAGGTAAACATACCTAAATGAGTAAATGGATGGCGGAACAAGGTTTCGGAGAAATAACAAAATGACAAAATTTATTAAGAGATACAAAGGACAAGAAATTGTGGAGAGTCATGATCACCCACGCCCTAAGGGGACACGGCACATAAAGATGTCTTTTCGCTCCTTCAAGTTTTAATGTTGTGGTGTCCTCCCTCTTAAGAGTCTATGTTAGACTCTTCCGCCTACTATAAGATTAGTAGGACAGAAGACTTCGGGGAAACAGTGAATAGATTGAGCGCTAGTTCATTCGATACACTCTTACTAGTCGTGTAATACTCTTCTGGTTTACTTACTCTTTAATATAGGATATATCTGCAAACCTGCTTTTTGTCATTACTTAACCATTTACTTAGTCACGACATATTGGAGGAGAGAAGGATCAGTAAACAGTGATTGGATTGAGTACTAGTTCAGTCGATATACTCTTACTAGTCGTGTAATACTCTTCTGGTGTACTTACTCTTTAATATAGGATATATCTGCAAACCTGCTTTTTGTCATTACTTAACCATTTACTTAGTCACGACATATTGGAGGAGAGAAGGATCAGTAAACAGTGATTGGATTGAGTACTAGTTCAGTCGATATACTCTTACTAGTCGTGTAATACTCTTCTGGTGTACTTACTCTTTAATATAGGATATATCTGCAAACCTGCTTTTTGTCATTACTTAACCATTTACTTAGTCACGACATATTGGAGGAGAGAAGGATCAGTAAACAGTGATTGGATTGAGTACTAGTTCAGTCGATATACTCTTACTAGTCGTGTAATACTCTTCTGGTGTACTTACTCTTTAATATAGGATATATCTGCAAACCTGCTTTTTGTTATTACTTAACCATTTACTTGGTCACGACATGTTGGAGGAGAGAAGGATCAGTGAACAGTGATTGGATTTATCTAGTTCAGTCGATATACTCTTACTAAAAAGAAAAAAAACCATTTACTTGGTCACGACATGTTGGAGGAGAGAAGGATCAGTGAACAGTGATTGGACGATTAAGTGGAATTATATAAAAAAAAAACTAATCAAAGCACCTAGTCTGTCATATTCAATGAAACCTGCATGAAAGTAGGACTGCTGCCTAAATACAGAATATATATATATATATATATATATATATATATATATATATATATATAGGCACATACACACATACACACACACACACACACACACACACACATATGTGTGTGTGTGTGTGTGTGTGTGTGTGTGTGTGTGTGCAAATATATGGATATAGATCCGACAGTATGAAGAAAAATATACGGAAAAAACAAACAAAAAATCCTAATATGCAATTATGCTGTTTTAATGTTAATATGATATCAACGTCAGACGTTTTCGGTCTAGTAGACTATCTTCAGGACATATTCATAAAACATAATTAACATTAAATATTAATTCAATGTTAAAGACGATTTTCTTGAATATGTCCTGAAGATTTTCATGTTAGACCGAAACGTCCGACGTTATTATTATATTAACATTAAAACCGCATAATTAAATATTAGATTTTTGTTTGTTTTTTCCGTATACTTTTCTTCATATATATATATATATATATATATATATATTAATGAAAATAATAAGACGAAAAAAACTACGCTTAAGTACCTAATACAAAGGAATGGGTTTTAATAATCGGAGTGGGGGGGTCTCCATATGCAATAAATGGGGTATGTCTTAAATTCCTAATAAAAGAGGGATTTAAAACATCAAAAAGTAAGAAATTAATATAGTTGTAGTC